TTTAACTGAATATTTTTATCAACATGTATCAACATGATTAAAAAAATATTTTGTATCACTATTGTATGATATTTTTAATATTGATCGATCATACTTCTCCTAAACCGTAATTGGCTGTAATAACAATGCTGGATGAATCTCCAGTCGTGGGATGTCTAGTGAACATGACACCGGCCGCTTCGGCGTTAACCATTTTCTGAATACAAACAGCCATGGATTTTAGAGGTAGTCCGTTTTGTCGCCTATATCCCGCCATTTCCCCAGAAAAAAATTATCATTTTTCAATCTAAGACAATGCCTAACGAGGCAATTTTCTAAAAAGAATAAATTACCTGTATTCGATACTTCGATACGAGAACATACTTGCCCAACATTTGGCAACACATTTAATAACATCATTCGCATCTTTCACGCCTAAATACGTCGAGTTTTGACCAGCAGCTGAAGTTTCGTCGCTGTCTTCTCCAATCGCGCTGGATCTTACGGCGTAACGCCGATCATGTGTATCTTTTTCATTTACAGACGATTCCAATTTCTCTAAACCTTGTAATATCGCCTTCGCAATTTCTTCCTCGACAGGAGTATTCTTAATGCTGGACATCGCCCTAAAAAAACAAAATAGACTTTACTTTGCGACCACGATATACTTTTATGAAATTAGACCTACTTTTGACAATAACTCTCAAAGTCTTCTTTTTTTTCCAATGATTAACGTTCATTATATCAGCAATTGCGTCTTGTAATTGTTTGTGATGCTGCAATTGTCGTTCCAGAGCAAAACTCGTTACGCAGAAACCTTGAGGTACCACAAACTACAAATAGAACTTTGTATATGACTTGAATTTCTTAATGAGCGATAATATATATATATATATATAATACGTACATCATCAGCGACAGTAGTTGTCAGAATGGCAAGAGAATATCCCTTTCCCCCGACGACGCTTTCATTTTGACATTGCTTATCATCAAAATGCAAAATGTATTTATCTTTTTGCGCAAATGTATCGGGTCGCGTTAGAGGTTGAATTCTCGCGATTGGAGTCTTGATTTGCTTCGGTCCAGAGTACGGACAATGTATAATCATTAATCCGACACCTATATGTATTGTTACAAATTTTTAAAGATATAAAGAAGATAATCAAGATAATTTGTCAGCTTTACAAAATAAGATTTCAATCTAGTCTGTCTTTAAAATGCTTTTTTCCGAATTGTTTTCCGAATCATTGTGTCAATATACCTGTGCTACCGTTTAGTTCGACACGCAAATTACGAGTTGTATAAGTCCAACACCATGGTTGGCCGTTGTAACAAGTTATTGCATTTCCCACTGGATAATTGATAACAGCATTGTATTGTTTCCCAGCCGCTGGAAAATGAAAAAACGATAGTGTAAATAAATGTTAACGAGCAGTAACGAGCGTTTCATACGAGCGATTGAAATTTGTGACTGACATTGACGACGATATAGAGGAATAAAAACCTGTAAATGCAATTTTGTAGTTCATAGGAGCACAGCGGTTTATGTCTTCTTTTTCAAAATCGCTCAATTTCAGATCCATCCAATCAATTTTGCTTATGCTTCCTGATGCTGCTTCAAGATTTCCAAACTGCATGCTGTAATAAATTTTGTTTCGCGAATACGAAGTTACGTATTTCTCATTGGTTACGAGTCATTATACGTTTCGAGAATTGGAGATTCATCATTATTTGTATAAAATTTCCCAATTTATTTACAAAACGTTATATGATACTATATTTTTTAAAAAAATGATAAAATAAAGGTAATAAAATAGAGGTAAAATAAAGATATAAAAAAATTTCTTTATAGGAAATTTTAACAAAACACAACAAGCAATATTACATTACGATATTATTGACATATATTTGTTTATCTTACTGCGAAAAGCTATATTTGGTATTGCTCACACCAAGATGATACATTGCTCCATGTTTTGTCACACCAAAAAGTGTGACGGTTCGATGAAATTGATAAGATTCGTGCTTGCCCCAACGACGCTGACAAAGTCCTCGCAAATACAACGCATTTGCACTTGAATCTTTGAACGTAATCTGCCCGATAATGGACCCCCATAGATCAAAACCCGTGTAATCTATCAATTTGCTAGAGTGCCAACAGAAAAAAAAAAAAGGGAAATTTAGACCTAATGTATATCACTACGGAAGCAAAGGATTATTAGGACAGCGAGCTACATTGAAAAATTGTAAAGTTTTACATTTTGTGCTTCCAATCAGGGCTCCTCCATGGTTCACGTGCTAAAGCGTCCGCATGCAAATACGTACTCCAATCATCCGGCCATTTTAACAATCGGGGCTTGCCAATAAATCTGGAAAAACGAAACGTACGTGACCAAATGGACGGAACCATTCAAACGATTGCACGTTTCTTTTATTTGCCTTTACTCACATAAAATTTAAACGAATGTGTTCCACATTGTCGTCATTGGACGTGTCTCCTTGACACTGGTTCCGGAGAAGACCGTTGTAGGTAATTCTCCAACGTTGTCGCGGTTCCAACGTCTCAATTTTTAAACCCGACGCTGACCATTTTTGACCAGTATTTTCTGTCGCAAGTGTGTCAGGATAATCTGTGCATTCACAATGAGAGACGTGTTTAATTTTCAATTTTTACGTGTTATATTTCGATTACCTGTGATATCATGATAAACTTTACCGAGTGGCACGTAGACTTGACCGTCCGACAAGATCACTTGCAGCATCAATTCCGCTGTACGATACCCTCTGTGATTTATTTTAACAAATAACGAATTACCTTTTTGATCGGCACCATAAAAGGACAGGCTATCGCAACTCTGTATAAAAAAAGAAATTCACTTGGAAATCAATTTTGCATAGGATTAATTTATTCGCGAGTATTACGTATTACTCACATTTTCATCTATAATAGTTTTTGATTCATCCGAATGTGGTTGCAAGATTTTTTTTATATAAAATAGTGCTTCGTTATGCTTACTTGTCTTTCTAACTGTTCTCTTCTTCTTCGAGATGCACCAAAGAGCCCACCATCGTTTTAGGACAAATTGTATGTCTAAAGAAACACGATTTAAATGCAAATATCTATTTCGATTAAATCGAATATTGTGTAATCTTTCAAAATTAATAAACTCCATTAATAAACTTTTTCACGTATTATCTTGATAAACGAAGAAAAAAATGAAATTATGCAACTTATTTGTCTAAACACATCTCACCTAATCCCAGGTAATGCGAAAGCCGCTTTTTTATAAACCAAAAATAAATCCATACAGTAATAACAATCGGGATTATAATTTGCATGTTGAATGTAATAAACGTTATCATGTAATGTTGCACAAGCGCTAGAAATTGCACAATAAGTTCCCGTTCACACTGCAAAAGATATATATATATATATATACACACACAGACACACGTATATATGAATACACGTGCAATTATCTAATAGAGGACTTCTCGGACTTTTCCCTCTCTTGTTACATCGACGGATATCAGAATACTGGTATGTTATCGCGTTTACTTCGATTTAAATGATTCAAGGCCTGTTATCGAGATTCATTATCAGATAATGTGCTTTATTTCCCCGGATTAAATGATCTTGTAACCACAAGTAGTAATGATGACATACACCTATTAAATGAGCGTCCGAACAAAGAATATATCATCTGACTTCTTCCTGCTATACGCTGTTTTATCTATTATGTAATTCTCCTTTGTTTACTGGTCCTTGAACATATTATGTTAAGAACATCGTAGATAATATATCGTAATTATCAGTTGATATTATAGCACTCCGTTATCAAAGCAATTATAAAAATTAAAAAAACTAAAAAAATGGGATAGTGACTAGGTGATAAAAAGAAACTTGCAAAATATTTTTTGTAACAACTGCATACGTATATTTTTACATTATATTATAAATAATATTTGCCAGCACCTGGCAACGCTTCAACGTGATGTTACGAAAGCTTTGAACTTTAGATAACGAAAACAATGATATTGATCAATCAAAATTGTTAATTCGTTTTCTTATTCGTATTGTTGCCGAGATCAACAGCTTCTTCAGTAATCGTATCAGTATCCATACGTGATTTATCTACCGGGTATAACCTGTTGATAAATTTTTTTTTCTTAATTGATACATTATGTGGCTCGAATGGGAAAATGGCAATGAAATGTACTGCTCTTCACATCGAATATCACTGAACGAGTCATAAGTAGCGAAATGAGGAATGCAAAATTTTCTGATGAGATGGATTTTTGAGTTCGATCATTTTCTGACGAAAAGTAATCTCATATGTCTCATATTTGTATGATGACAATTTCCTTTCAATCAGAACCAGAAACAGAAACAGAAAATACAAAAAATTTTTTCTTGATAACTATACTTATCTTTGGATAAAAATTCAAGTAAAAATTCAAGCCGAAATACTGGTAGAAATGCAAATAGAAATTCAAACCGAGATACAGGTAGAAATTCTGGCAGAATTCCATTTTCTTGGAAGAAAATATTTACGGCTCGACTCTCTCAAACAGTCAATTCGGTTTTGTAATGTCATAAGCGAGAAATTATGTACAATAATTGCAAAATATATCTTTATTTTTTAATTTTTCCTTAAAAGCATAATAATTTCGTAATCCTGAAATTTGTAAAATGTGCGGGAAACTGAAACATCTGTCCGATCTATCACATAGAAATGTAAAATAATTGTTAAAATGAGTCATTTTTCAGCCATTCTCAAATGGCCAGTTAATGGCTGAAATATAATCCGTTATTTTAGGAATTATTTCTATGTGAAAGATCGGACATATGTTTTAATTTCCTGCATATTTTAAGATCACGAAATTAATTATTTTTAAGAGAAAATTAGAAAATAAAGCTATTTGTTATCAAGGAAATTACTGCATGTCATTTATCGCCTATGACATCATAAACCAATATGACTTGCAATTGAACATAAAAATTGAATTACTCTCGAAACAAGCCGCTTCAGTTAAAGCGACATAAAAAGAAAATAAAACGGAAGTTCGCGAAAATCGATGCATTTTTCCATTTTATTACAAATTATAATTACTCTCTATCACTATTTTTCTTTCAATCCAAATCGCAACGTTCAATGATACACGGCGTGATTCGCAAGTTAAATGAATAAGCTCTCTTACCATCTTTGATAAAGATAAATCAGAAAGACGGCGTCGTCTCTGAAGCATGCTATTCTGTGAGCTGTCGGCATCGTTATAATGAAAGCGAATACATCATCGATAAATGTATTAAATGCCTTATACATAAATGCCCTCCATGGCAGGTGCGCCACGGATTTCAATTTATAATTAACAAACAATTGCGGTAGCATAAAGAGAAATCCAAACGCGTAAACTCCATTTACCAAGGAATTTATACTCCAAGAATACCAACTGTAATTCAAAACGATTTGTTATCGTTAATGATAATCATCTATCTAAAGACAAAAGGTCATCTCGTATATATATGTCTTTTTCAGATAAGAAAATTTGCGGTCATTTACCTTTTATGAGGTTGATAAAATAACGAATAGATGGCACCAGCGATAATTAATGGATATAACAAATAACTCAGATAACGCATACTCTCAGCATCAAATTCTCTAGTTTTCACCTCTGCCGCATCAATGTCATCGGTTTTAAATTGTATTTTTGGCAATATACTACCGCTGCTAATCAATTCCACTCTCGATATCTTTTTTAATTTCCACATCTATCAAACAAGTGAACATATTAAAAAATAAATTGTATATTATGCATTAATACATAAACTGTAATAATTAAATCGATATAAACACTGTCTTATATTTGTAACATACGCACCTCAATAACAGTGCTAACACCGGTCGGAATGAGAACGAGTAAGGAAGAACCTTCATCGCAAAGATAAAGGAAAATCACAGTCTGACTAAATGCACGCCATATCACGGTCCATTTGCTGAGACCTATAAGATTACTCTTCTTCCGCCAAAAGCTAACATCATTTTTAATAGCGAGGAAATCAAACAACAACTGTAACACAGAAGATAAGTGTGGTCTAAGTTTCTCTTTCGTTTCCATCAAGTTCTATCTCATTCCGATGAGACATAATTTCAAGTTTGATATCGATATATTTATTATTTCACTCACGTGTACAGCTGCGATAAAGAAAGTACCACCCAGTAAGTAGATATTGGTATCTGCAAAAATACCCTTCACTTCATCGATATCTTTGTCGGAAAAACCAAGATTCTTGAGATTTTCCATGGTTGCTTGCACATGTAGCATCAATCTTAATTTTCCCAAAGAGATAGGTGAATATTCTACTGTGACATTCATTATATTATCTTGCAGAGTAATTCGTTTAAGATCTCGATGTCGGGTTTGTAAGAAATCACAGTTTACAATTGGCAAGAACTTATGTTTGCCGACTATTCTGCAAGAAACAACCAGTATATTTTTAATACAAGTCAGTATATCTTTAATACTGACTAGGTTGTATAACAATCAGTTGATTAAAATAAAAATTTATATACTTGATATGATGCAGAAGTTCAGTGGGCATGCCATGTATAGGAAGTATGACATTGTCTGTCATTATTGTAAAAGTTATACGACTTTTCATATGCGACACTGGACGTATGACAGTTTGGCTATCAACTTTCTTCATGCTATTATTCTTGTTACCCAACAACTTGAATACTTCTGCTTCAGGTATTATATATTGTGTCATTTTAATAGTAGTATATGAAGTAAATATATCCTGCGAGATGCAATTGAAATAATTAAATATAAAACGAAACGTTATACAGATATTGAATGCCAAATAAGATATTTCCAAAAATATTTACAAATTTTATAATATTAAATTATATATAATTGCATTACTTTTTGTAAATCAACAAATGATCTATCCTGTTTTACGGAAGGAGGCACTAAGAGTATATGTAAAAACAATGTTCCATTCCGCCGCGTTTCACGTGGTACAGTTAAAATCACTGGACTGTAACAAAAAAAGTAGATAAATCATTAAATCTACAAGGGTCAAAGTCCCGCTCAGACCGTCATTTCCATATGAATGAGTGTCAAATATAATTTGAATTTATTGATTCTTCTCCCACGTTCCTCTAAGCAGAAAAAAGTAAGTGACGACTTGAAAAAGATAATCATTCATATGGATGATGCTCAGAGAGAGAGAGAGAGAGAGAGATCAACGGTCTGACTAATCGCAGGGATGCTCACATGGCTTGCGTTTGTTCGTAATCAAAGTTTTGCGCCGAGTATACGAGATCGGCATTTTTACCGATGGGATATCTCTTAACGGAGCTATAAATATACAAGTCCAATTGCGGCCGGTCAGTCAGGTATGACTCGAGGCACAGCTTGCCATCCTCGCAGGCTGGTGACACGAACAGCAACGACAGCGTGTATATCGAGTACACGATGTATCCTAGAAATATCTCGGAGAGAATAACGCTGAGCGAGGGCCACTGCATCTCGACAGGAAGCTATATCACGAGGAGTGCTCGAGGGCTAACCGGTGTTACAGGAGACGCTCGCACGACATTACATCTCGCGGGGTTTACGGATTCTCCGGACGGTCGGACCGGGCGATGGCGATCGCGACGCGACGTCCGCGACGATCGTTCGAGCTTCTGCCGCGTGGCAACGCGTGGCGACGTCGCGAAGGAAAAATTGAAGGAGATATTGACATGCGCTCGATCCGTACGTACGCCACCCGAATTTGCACCGGCGTTTCAGCCCCCGATCGTTGTCGATTTTTGAGATTGGAATGTATGCGCCGCGCGCACCGTCACCGATAGTTCATTGGCTCACGTGTCATTAATATTGGTTTTGTACATCGCATGCGTACATTTGTGTGTACTTTTGTTCCTTGCCGTGTACTTCACATAAACCTCCTCGACGGGTATTTAAAAATGCGCCATCAACGGCATCGGTAAACATACGCGGATCGATAAGAAGTACGAAATTACGTTACCGACATGCATTTATTGCGGCTTGTTTTCTTTAGCGACCTGACTTATCGACGTAAAATAAAGCCCTGCACATAATGCTAGAAGCGGGAATAAATATTAAATTTTAGAAATAAAAATTTGGAATAAGAATTAAATATAACGTACAATAGACACAGTAAGTATAAGCTATGGCTATATTTTATATTAGCACCGGTAAAAAAAAGCTTTGCTAAAAATAAGCTTCATCTTTTAATAACTTTCTTAAAAGATGATTGTCTTAAAACAATTTCTTCAATTTAGATAAAGAATCAGTATCAAGAGAAGAAAAAAAACGAGAAGAAAAATTGAATTTTTATTTTACGTTTTATATTGAAGAATTAATCGATTTCGCCAAATTATTTGCTAAGAAGAAAAATAATAGATAAAAAGAGTAATCAAATAATAATTTTCAATCAAATAATTTCAAGTTTCATTTGCTTTAATAAAACTCCAATTTGAATTCAACAGTTAATAAAATTACAATGTTTAAATTTAGAAATGTTCATTCATCCTCACCGAAAATAATAAAGTTCTTTATCACATAAGTTGTTTGAATTTATTAAACGAATTAGCTCAACTAATGAGAGATGCAAAAGGAAGTAAGGGAAGAAAAAAATTTTTCCCGGTAAAAAATTTTTCATATATAATTAAATATAAATAAATATAATTATATATAAAGCGTCATATATATAAAAATACAATTATAAATATAATATAAATATATTATATAATCATATAATTATATATTTTTATATGTGGACATATTTTATATATATCAAATTGATTATTGGGCGTAAAAATTGTTCAAGGAAAGTATCATGTGTGTTTTTAATTTTCTGCGTTAGTCAATTTTCAGTTTTATAACTTTATCCATCTTGAAATACTCGAATCTTGCACGTGTGCTTCAGTCAACTTCTTCCAAGAACTTTCATCTTAAACTTTACTTAGAATGAACGCGGAATAACGGCAGCCAAACTCTTAATGTTAATTAAACGAAGATGACATAAATTGGATATTGTATTGTATTGTCCTTGTTCCTCATAACCATTTGCACTTTATCATTTTTATAACAAATGAAAATCTATAGTACAATAAAAAGCGATGGATGGACTTTTCATTATGACTATTCGTCTCAGATTGAATCACATGGGCAATAGCTGCACTCGTTTCAGTTAGAGTATCGTTTAAATTTTCAAATTACTTATCTGACAGAAGTAGAAGATTAAGATATCGTGAGTAATTATAAAAAAAACTGTTTCGCCTCGACATTTTCCTTCAAAAAAGTCTAACTCGATCAAAGCCTGACCCGAACGGAGGAATCTGTGGTTGAAAGCATTAAACGCGTGGCCAAATGGTAATTATCGATCGATCTCTCCTTATTTTTTTTTTAAATTTATTAACCTAGGCCGATTTAGTAAATTTGCTTACATGAAAAACGATAGACAATTGGACAATAAGGATCGATGAATTTGATGAACAAAAATGCGCGCGTTTTTTCGTCTCTTTCGGCTCGATCATCCTTCGTGATCGAGAAGCAAGTACACCCCTGCGGCTCGTACACGATGAGCGTGCGCGACTTGTCGCTCAAGCACGAGTAGGACGTGAGTCGTCGTGGTGCGTGGTGGTGCGTGGACCGCTACGGAGGGGCCAGAGAGTGTGTCTCACGCGGAGCACAGCTGGCGCGGATCGCGGGTCAAGATGTAAGCCGTCGTAAGGCGCGGGGATGTCGCGCTAGAGAGAAAGAGCCGCTTGGGCCTAGGCCTAGCGCGAGAGTGCGAGGGTGCGAGGGTGCGAGGGTGCGAGAACGGGAACGAGGGCACGATAATAAAAAGCTGAGTCGGAGA